TGCAAAGGAAGAACAATGAAAGCTTTGTGTGCACACCCACACACACAGCAGCGTCGACTAGTTTTAAAAAAAGCTAGGAGGAATCAGCTATAGAATATGACGGAGAAAGAAGAAGAATCCATGAACTTAATAGCGACAAACTGAACTCCTCTGCGCACGCGCTCGTCGACAAAACGAACAAGAAGAACAAAGGAGATAGAGGATGATAGAGGAGGAAGAATGGTTGGAAAATCACTCCGATTGGGAACAGAAGAGAAGAATCGAGAAGGGTTTTTTTGAAGCTGCCTCCTACTCCCTGTTTTTTTTATATGCAGAACACGAATGAAATGGGAAATAGGGGAGAAAATCTGATTTTTTCTAAAAAGGGTATTTTGGTAATTTTGTAGTGTTTAGAGCAGAATAAAATTTCTCCCTTACCGCTGCGGAGACTCAACAATATGTAGGCGACAAGTATTGACTCCATCAAGCCAATAACTTCTTATTGCATCTATTTTAAAATTATAAAGTTATAAAAATATCATCAAAACATGTTATTATATAATATATTATGAATTTCACTAACATTTAAGTCAAAATACCAACAAGAATATTATTAATAACATAATTATTTTCTAAATCATTGCATGTCCATATATAATATATTATGAATTTCACTAACATTTAAGTCAAAATACCAATAAGAACAATTGATCATTTTATTTTTTATTTTTTTGCTAAAAAAATTATTTATCACATTTTTTAAAATTCCTAAATTTCCTAGCCATTACATTTATTTTTGGAGTGTGGAAGTATTATCATTCAAGTTTGAAATGCACTATAAAAAGAACTTTTGGAGTATGGAAGAATCAGTTTGCAATTATATGAAAAATGCCTAAATTTAGATATAAAATACAAGTTCAAATTGTTTGTGTAACAATGAAAATACATAACTTTATTAGGAGAAATTTAATTACTGATGAGCAATTCATGCAATCTGAAGATGAAAGTGTAAATATCCATAAGGAATATACTAATATTGGTGAGACATCCTTGTCAAATCTACCCAAATCGTCAAGATAGATGCATCGTGTTCGTGATATAATTAAATATCAATTGAATATTAATTTATTTTAGGTTTTCATGATTGAATATTAAGATATTTTACTTATTAGTTGTGATTTTAAGTTTAATATTTTTTACTTATTAGTTAGTCAAAAAATATAAACATGCTTATTTAAAATTTAATATTTAAGATAAAAAAATTCATACTTATTTTTGTCATTAAACATCTCAACTGACTTTTGAATCAAATCATCCAAACAAGTTTCAATTTATCTAACTAACTTTTGAAAAAAAAGGTATTCAAACATAAATTACGTTACATTAACTGACTTTTCTTCTAACCTCAGTTTGCTAATTTCAATTGAATCTTAACTTTAATTATAAATTTTTTAATCCAAACATACACTTACTTGAGGATCTTGTAGTGTGTGGGGCTTGAATCTGAACACGTGATGACAAGGCCTCTTGTCATCCAATTTTCTTAGGCTAAAAAAAAAATGATTTTATTATATAGAAGCAGGATGCGAACACCAAAACAAGACCAAAGCAAAACAAACAAAAGAAAAACCTAACCAGTAACACCAAGGATGCAATGTGCATAATACACGACAAGTCCCTCTTGGGAGGCATTGAATTTTGATGCTTTATATTTTTTATATGGTGTGCCTCATGTGGTTGCATCATTATTCATATATGTGTGCATTATAATTGTGAATAATGAATTGAAATTTGGGTGCTTTTGACGACAAGACCCTCTCGGGTGGCTTTCCTCTGATGTTCACGCTAGTCACTCCTGGTCAACGATCAAGCATCGTTGTTTATATAATTATCTGATTTCCATCAAACTTATTCTTCTGCCTTCCTTCCAAAAACGACTGTTTGGTTCTAAAGTTGAAACACCAGCTTAATGAGATAAACCAAGACAAATAATATGACATCGCCAAGAAGCATAGCTTAGTCCATTTCTAAGAAAAAGAAGTGCCACGTTTGAGTTTGGCATGATCCTCAAGACTTGAGATGATTAAACGAAAGAGGCCGTTGATCGAATATGGTGTTACATGCTACAAATCTCACAAAATCGTGTTAAGTGATTCTTAGTACTTTTGTTAATGAGCTCTGGATCTTGTGGAAGTGATAGTCTTGACCTAATACTTGTTAAAGGAACACAGGATCACAAGAAAGAGGAATCAAGGATCAATCAACAACATTTATTAATATGTTCAGTGTAAATTTAACATTTAAATTGATTATACAATTTCAAGTAGTTTTAAGATCATTTTTAGTTTTTCAATGTTGTGACCATTACGGCTTTGTACTTTACATTATTGTCAATTAGCACACTCATTTATTTTAATTTATTTATATCTTTACATTCAAATAAATTGTATTAAAAGAGTCCAATAATTTGTTGTTATCTTTAAAATTAAGTGTTTTTGACATGGTTGATATTTGTTGTTTTGCACAAAACAACAACAAATCACACTAGCTCTATTGTCTATTATTCCTTCAAGTTCTGACAATCACATTCTACCTATTCTATCATTTTGCCCCTGTAATTCCCTGATCTAATTCGACACCTTTTTTCTCATATATCAAAAAGCAACCATAGGCTTATAACTATAGCACTGGCGTGTTCCTGGTTTTACTCAATTCTATACATGCTTGAATATTTATCATCATTTAAACCGTTACCATTATATATATATATATATATATATATATATATACCCTGACATGAGAAATCTTGTATTTTTGTAGAATGCTCCGTTTCAGCCCCTTATCTTTCCATACAATTATTTTTTTTTAAGATAAAGTTCTCTTGAATAATTATTGCTAAATTATTCAAATATAAGTGAATTTAAAACAATATGGGAAGTCCTATATTAAATTAAAATTGAATAAATTGTTCTTTTCTAAATAACTAACATAAGATGAAGATAAAGAACTGATAAACTTTAGCCCTATTTTCAAGTAGTCGTTTTTTATTTTTAACAAGTGATATTAGAGCAATTAAAAGAAGCCTATGAACTCATATTTAAAAGAGATTGTTATGTTATTCAAATATAAATAAATTTAAAACAATATAAGATATTTCACAGCGGACAAAGTTAATTTTAATAACAAATATAAATTAAAAATAAAAAATCTATAAATTTGAGTCTTAGTATCTTTGTGCTAATGTTACTCTTTTGTGTTAATTTTTTTTAAGTGATATAGATTTTAACAAGCCAATATTAACCCATCAATATTAACCAATATGACTTACAGGTTATATGTTTCCGGCTAGAAAAATTCTCTTTTCATTTGAGTCTTTTTTTAAAGATCAATTATTTGAGTCAATCATCCTGCCTCTAAGCCTTTAACGTTTTTTCTTGTCCTTCGTTTTCGGCGATCGCTCTCATGTGTATGCTTAGTTTATATGAATAATATATGTTGTGTACGTATATGTCGAAAAATAACCTACCCCTTAATTTTTATTTTCCAGTTTGTCTTCAATATGCACCACGTGACAATGACGCGTTATTATAAAATGACGATTATCTGTTCGTTTGAATTTTGCGATAGGTATTCTGATAAATACAGCATTTCATCTGATGATAATTATAGACCAATTTTGTATGATAATCTAAATTGACCAACGAAATCTCCCATTCTTGGTCAGAAATGTAGCACTAAGCTCTTGATTAAATGCGTTATTAAATTGAGTATTTCTTTGGTTGCCCCAAAAAAGAAAGATTATTTCTCCTGGGAATTTTGCAATTTCGACTGGATCCAAGATTGAAGGCGTTCCAGCAAATAATTAAAAGACGATCTGTGTATAATTTGAATTGACCTGCATTATCTCATAGTCTTCGCCAGGATTCAGAAAGGATCAAAGGAGAGAGATTCCAATCCATCTGAATGTATAATATATATATATATATATATATATATCAATTTGACCCACTTTGATTATCATAATTAGAGAGGAATGAGAATGATTTACTACTTAATTCTTGTGTTTTAAGCTGAGCCTTAATGAGCTTCTTAGCAATTTATTGGTAACCAAACATGCAACTGAATTGCCAGCAAACTCTATTATGTTTTTAAAAAAACTTTCCATAATGCTTGGGATTTTTTTGACCGAACCTAATAATGCTTGAGATAATAATTTGGGACGGTGGGAGTATTTTTATTATTTATAAATAATGTAGATTTTTTAATTTTATATTATATATACACAAATATTATTGAAAAATATCAATGATAGTATATATAATAAAATGATAATAAGCTATCATTCTATTCATAACTAATAAAACCATAAATTCTCTTTATACAACAAGAAAATATCTGGATTAATAGTATGCATTAAATTGTTCAATAAATTAAACAAACTTAACAATCAAGTTGTCGTAGATTAGTTCTGCACTTTTAAAGGTCGATCAATGAATCATACCATGTCAACTCCTCGCGTAACTAGTCCAAACACACCCAAAAAAAAAAAACCAAAAAAAACTCATGTAACTAACATTTTTTTGCCAATGATCTGACGTAACTAACATTATTTATTAGGTTATTTGTAACTGATGTTTTATTTCTAGTTGAAATTAAATTCGGCAAGAAGCATGCGTACAGTAAAATGACGTGAAATCATAGAGAAAAATTGAAGAAGTAAGTTGTATAAATATAATGGGGAAACAAAGAAATCACTAAGTAAACACAATTAATGGATTCCCGAGTTAGTTTTAGCATTGGTTTAATTTTTTTAATGCGTGATAGACTTTGAGTTTATAGTAAATATTAAGTAATTTAATTTAATAAACAGGCTTAGAAAGATTATTATTTACCATACGCTTACATGAGCCAGTTGCTATGAAAAAGAAATTGACCCAATCTAAGAGGAGCTGTACGCGGTTTGAATAAAGGCCATGTCACAGAATTTTCACCTATAAAAAGCAAGGCTCTGTCGTAGTAGGCCTGCCAAATTGTGCCCTCTACATTCTCTCCATCTGGTTTTTCGAGCTCCATCACCAGCTTATCATACTCCAGCTCTTCCACCTCTACTCTATATGGCCATGGCCTCACTTCACCGTCCCATGTCCCTCCCTCTTCTCCTGCTCTTTCTTCTGATCTCTGGTAAATACTGGATACTTCCTTGAATTCTTCCATTACGAGTGCATGACATGACATCCACGTATGTATACTTGTTCTCTCACTGAAAAAAGTTGATACTTTCGACTCTGATATATGCACAGGACACTTGGGATTGGATGCGGAAGCTCGAAATCTGCAGAATCCGACGAAACTGTTCGTCTTTGGGGACTCATATGCGGATACCGGCAACGTCAGGAGAGATGTGGCCGGTTCCTGGAAACAGCCATATGGAATTACTTTTCCCGGTAAACCCGCTGGCCGTTTCTCCGACGGCAGAGTCCTCACTGATTTTCTCGGTATGTGCCTCGTCCTTCTCACTTCGTGTATGCTTTTTCTGAGTCTTTCTGTGCCTTTACCTTTGTCAGAAAAGTATGGCCGCGGTTGGGCTGGCTGCTTTGGTAGAAAATTCAGTGACAATATCTATATATATATATATATATATATAATATGTTTAAGCATAAAATTGAAAGGTGGGGTTCATTTATTTGCTGGCCTGCCTCTTTTCCTTTCTCTTTTTAAATTATCCGTCTGAATCTCCTCAGTGGCACTGCCACCTTTCTCTCTTTCCACGTCAAATTATTAGAATTACCTTCTTTTCTGCCTGCCTCTCCTCCTTCCGACAAATTTAAGGGATTAACACACACAAAGTACGTCACTAAGAAGTTAGCGCTAGTTTAGAATCTAACCTGTCTCACTAATAAAGCAGCTCTATTTCTGGGACATATTGTTTATTTTTATTTCTTCCCTTATCCCCATAAACTTTTATTGCCAGCGGTTCTAGCTAATTCTTTGCAGCTTGTAAAAGCACTAGGCATTGTCGTCCTTATCGCTTGATTGAAAAATATAAATGCACTACTTTTCGAAAAGAAAAGTCTGATAATCTAGCACTTTGAAGAATATTAATGATTAATGTAATTAATGAGTGGAATATGCGCAGCTAAGTATTTTGGGGTGAGATCGCCGGCACCTTACAGACTGAGAAATCTGATGCCCCAATATGTGAAATACGGGATGAACTTTGCGTATGGTGGCACGGGTGTTTTCAATACCTCTTCTCCAAACCCAAATATGACTGTCCAGATCGATTTCTTCGAAGAGCTCATCAGAGACAAAGTGTACACCTTCGCTGACCTCTGCAACTCCGTCGCTCTGGTCTCCGTCGCCGGCAACGACTACAGTTTTTATCTCGCCACGAATGGCACTGCCGAGGTAAATTTTTCCGCGTCCTTAAGAGCATAGCACAACAAATTTAGTCGCTTTCACACTTTATATTGTCAGAAAATCCTCAATTTCCATCTTCAGAAAAATATGGCAGTTACACGATAAAGAAAACTCGTGACCAGTTCGTGCATATTGGACTTATTATAGTTGCAGAGACACCTGTGTCCTTTCAAGCTGCATGTTTTCAAATTTCACTATCACGTCTCTCTTTCTAAATTTTTGGATTCGCTTCGCTGTTCGGTGGGTTCCACCGCCTGGAAGGAAACAAGGCCCTTAGTTATGAGCATGTAGCCCCAAACGATACAAGTCAAAAGATTTTAGGTATAAGAAACCACACAGACGTCAGGCTTGATATTATACAAGTCTCAGAATTGACGTCGTATATATACACTAATACGAGTATAACTGATACGTTTGCATGTTTTGTATGTACGTAAATAGGGGGCGCCGGCGTTTATTGCGTCGGTGGTGAACCAGACGGTGAAAAATGTAGCTCGAATCCATGGATTGGGAGTGAAGAAAATTGCAGTGAGCGGTCTGCAACCCCTCGGGTGCCTCCCGCAGACAACAGCTTCATCGTCATTCCAGCAGTGCAACTCCACCTTCAACACCTTCGCCACCCTTCACAACACCCTCTTGGGCCAAGGGCTGGCGAAACTGAAGGAAGAAGCCAACGACAATTCCAGCTTTGTCGTTCTTGACCTTTTCGACAGTTTCATGTCGGTACTGAACCACCCCTCCACCCATAACATACAGAACCAGTTCAAGCCTTGCTGCGTTGGGGTGAGCAGCCAATACTCCTGCGGAAGCGTGGACGACAAGACCATGGCCAAGAAATACACAGTGTGTGAGGATCCTAAGTCCGCTTTCTTTTGGGACTTGGGTGCACCCAACGCAAGCTGGGTGGCATGCCGTTTATAACAACTTGCTCACCACTAATGCCCTTCAACAACTTCAATAGTAATGAGCAAGTCTATGTTATTTTGCTGTCATATTCATCGGTTCTTCTGTTTGTCTGTAATATTAATAATATGGCCCTTCCAATAGTTTAATTGTTCCTTACGTTGGGTGCTAATGTGGTATACTGTGCGAATTGATTTTTTTTTTCTTTTTTTCAAAAGGAACATGCTTTCTGGAATGCATCTTTTCCTTTTTCATGTCTTTCTTTCACCCCTAAAAAAAAAAATGAATTGTTCCACATAAGCTTAAGAGTTAAGATGATTCTACTACTTACAGGTCAATGGATCAATATTTTTGTGGCGAGATTCTCCTTTAATTTTTCTTATCTTTTCGTTTTTTAATGAAAGAAGACTATTTTGCGAAAGCATTCTGATCAGTATGCAGCTTAATGCCCCTGATCTGTAAGATCACTTCACAGACATATCATGTTGTGAGGGTAATGCAAGTTCATGGATAGAAACCATTTGGACTTCGAAACCATTTAGTAGAGTCGTGATTAATTCCCTCAACATGAAAGAAACGGATCGTGCCTTGTTCTTTAAATTGTCGTAATTATATGGTAATCCTCTATATGATTAGATCGATGAGAGGCCGTGGACTGAAGGTGAATATAATTTATGACATGTTAGGCATTAAGTTTCTAAATTAACATCATCCCCCTCTTCATTCCTTTCCGAATTTTACTTCTAGCAGGTGCCCACCCATTTGCGTGAACCCTCGATGATCCAGTCCTTAATCACTATATTGGTATTTGTGATGTGGGCTTTCGCATTTGTTCAAAGAAAGTTGCTTTCCTCTGTTTAAGAAACGCAGAACAGAAGTGGTTCATATAGATGGACAAGGTTAGAAACATAAAGAACAAATCACAATTCAACCAACACTAGCACCCACATAAACGCATCTATCTATTTGGTAGGGAAGTCGCGGGTACCTAACCGCGGAAAGTAACACGACCAAAAACAAAAAGAAAAGAAAAAATTGATGCAGTTTGCTTGTGGAAATTCGCGTTTTATAGACCTTTTATTGAGTGAACCACAAAAACAGAGGACTCCAAGATTCTTCCACCTTTGTTGTTTTGGTTTCCCTGTTGAACAATCCAGGGAGCCATGATATTTGAAACGGGGAATAATTGTGGGATGCAACAATATTTGTGATGATCCAACATCTCCCACTCTGGCAGGGTAGATTTCCTCCAAAAGATGCTCTTCTCAACAACTTCCACACGTCTCAGCTTCATGTCTGCATTTTGTGTTTGAAACTGTTTAAGACTTGTAAAAAAATGAATCTTGGAGAAGAAAATGAACATTCATAAAAATGATGATTATTGAACATTACAACAACATAATTCTTCTGAAACGATTTACAAAGACAATTCATCTCTTAAGAGTGGAATACAAATCCCAAACAATGGGACTATGGACGGATTACAATTAATTTCCCTACATACACAATGATATGTGGTCCTTTTACATGGATTTGGGGATGCCATCTAACTTGGTGGTTTACACTAATCACATCCATATGTTTCAACAGAAACCATTCGAGCTTTCTGCGTGTCTGTTGCAAGCAAAGCGTTTCCCATTATTTTCCAGATAACGTATTTTTCTCTTTTGTTTTAGAAAGATACACTTGTTAACTATTTACTCTACTAAGAAATTTACAATTTAAGCCCCGGGAGTTTTTAGAATGACTGCTCTTTAATCTCTGGAGCTTGTACTGAGGGACTGACGAGAAGCAAGCAAGTTTTAGAGATTCAGTCGTATATATTTGTAAGATTCTGTAAATAACTAACTAAATAGTTACACCTTTTTCTATCTGTGGCCGTTAAATACGCAACACTGGATGTGGCCTTTTGATCTAGGCCTTGAAGATCCGAAACTTAAGCCTCCAGATCTCATATTTAGACCGTGTTTATTTGCGCTTCTAGTCTTCTAATTACCCTTCACTGCATGATCTGCGGTCAGTGCCGTTGTAGAATACCTATATTTATAAATTTGCATAAAAAAGCTCTTCCTTCTCCATCAGCTTACCCTACAGCAACAAAAACATCCATTTATTATTCACAGTAGATTCTGTCATTACCAAACGATGATATTACGTAATTGGCGACAGCTCTTGTTCTCTCTCTGTTTTCTGCCAATACTGATCCAAGGATCAAGCCAATATGAAAGAAAGGTATGCCCAACAACCTCAGTTACGTACTGAATGGTCACTGCAATCTGTCGCATTTTTCTTGAGCGAAGCATGTGTAAATACATAATATAGTTTAAATAATATGAAATTTGTGCCATAAACAAAACAGCCATACATGTGTACATGGGACACCTGCCAAGGATGCTACTAGAACCCATGCCGTAGAATCCCAACATCACAACTTGCTGGAGGCTGCAATGGAGATTAATAATCTCGGACTAACGGGCTTTCCAAGCACACGTTTCTTTCCCCTTTTCCAGTAAAAAAGCATAT